GAAGATTGAAGAATACAGTCTGCAGTATGGATTACATCTCAATATAAAGAAAACAAAAATCCTCACAACTGGACCTATAAGCAGTATTATGATAAATGGAGAGAAGATCAAAGTTATCAAAGAGTTCACATTGCTTGGTTCTACAATCAACGCCAATGGAAGCAGCAGTCAGGACATCAGACAACGTACAGCACTGGGCAGGTCGGCTGCAAAGGACCTCTTTCAAGTGCTGAAGAGCAAAGATATCTCCTTGAGGACTAAAGTGTGCCTGACCCAAGCCATGGTATTTTCAATCACTTCATATGCATGTGAGAGCTGGACAATGAATAAAGAAAACTGAAGAATCGATGCTTCTAAGCTGTGGTGTTGGCTATGAATGCTGGAAGTACCATGAACTGCTAAAAGAACTAACAAATCTGTCCTGGAAGAAGTGCAGCCAGAATGCTCCTTGGAAGAGAGAATGGCCAGACTTCGTCTCACCTACTTTGGTCATGTTGTCAGAGGGATCATTCCCTGGAGAAGGATGTCATACTTGGTAAGGTGGAGGGTCAATGAAAGGAGAGGCCCTCAACAAGATGGATTGACACAGTGGCTGCGGCAATGGGCTCAAGTATAGCAAGGGCTATGGAGTTGGCGTGGGACCAGGCTATGTTTCGTTCTACTGTGCACAGGGTCACTATGAGTTGGACCAACCTGATGGCACCTAACAACACAACATGCTTGGTTTTATGGTCATAGAGAATAAGGAACTTGTATCTATCTTTGTGTTTGTATATATTTAACTAATACCACAAAAATATTTTAAGTCAGCAGTCAAAACCCATGGTCATCACGTCAGTTCCTACTCATAGAGACCCTTTAGGATAGAATAGAACTGTGGCTTAGTGTTTCCAAGGCTGAATCTTTACAGAAACAGACTGTCTCATCTTTCTCCTGCAAAGCAGCTGGTGGGTTTGAAACACCAACCTTTTGATTAGCAGCTAAATGCCTTAACCACTGCATCACCAAAGCTCGTAAGTCAGCAGTAGGGACCCACAGTACATTTTTCCCTTTCCCCATATTACTGTCGTTGAGTCAGATCCAACTCATAGCAACCCATCCTTGAGTTTCCAAGGCGGTATCACTATGGAAGTAGTGGGACTGTAAAACGGTACAACCACTGTGGAAAGCAGTATGGTTATTCTTTCAAAAGTTGGAATTAGAAATACCACATGACCCAGCCATTCAATTACCAGGTATATATCCTAAAGAAGTAAGAGCCATGACAAGAACAGACATACGTCCACCCATGTTCATCGCAGCACTATTTACAATAGCCAAAAGACGGAAACAACCTAGATGTCCATCAACTGAAGAACGGATAACCAAACTATGGTACATACACACAATGGAATACTATGCCACCCTAAAGAATAACGTAGAATCTGCAAAAAACCGCATAACATGGATGAACTTGGAGACATTATGCTGAGTGAAATAAGTCAATTACAAAAGGACAAATATTATATTAGTCCGTTATTGTAAAAAGTCAAGGAAAGGTTTACATATGGAAAGAAATTTTCTTTGTTGGTTACCAGGGGTGGGAGGGAACACTGGTAGATAGAGACATGTATTGATCTGGGTGACAAGAAGGGTAATGTACCAAATGTAGTGATTAACATTGTGGCATTGAGGAAGAGGAAGATATAAGAGGTACATGGGAGGTACAGAAACCAAAGATGAACCCTTCTGCACATACAGTACTGCGTTGTCAGTAAAGGCAAACATGAGTATACAGGTGGATAGACAGGTGGGCAGGCTGAACTATTAGGTATGTTTATGCAGGGGGGAGTGTACCCAAGACCATGTATGTATAGGGTTGGCAGGCAATGGTTCTACAAGTGTTATTTGTATGTTCTGTAAGAATTCCCAGATATATAGTAGAACTGACAAGGGACAAGGTTGTAGTCACTTCTTGGTCACAGACAGCTACCCGGAAGGAACAAGTAGCTGAGCCTGTGGGCTCGGGACCATAGTCGCAGGGGACATCAAGCTCAACTGACGTAACATACAACACAAAACATTGTTCCACCTCCTACTTTGGCAAGTAGCAAGTGGGATCTTAAAAGCTTGCAAGCAGCATCTAGATGCAATGATGGGTCTCTCCTCGTCCAGAGCAAAGAAAAATGAAGAAAACCAAAGATTCATGGAAACAATTAGTCCAAGTGACTGGTATACCATGTGATCCTCAACCTATATGACTGTGAGACCAGAAGAACTATATGGTGCCCGGCTACTACTGTCAACCACTCGGCGGGGGGATCTATGTAGGAGATCCTGGATAGAGAGGGAGAACAATGTGGAACAAAACTCAAAATCATTTGGAAATAAAAAAAGGGACCAGGTTTCCTGGTTTGATAGAGCATGATGGAACCACTGAGACTATGGTCCCTAGCTGCCCTTCAGGTCTGGAATTGAACCCATTCTTGTGGCTGCCAGCCAAACAAAAGACAGGCATATGAGGTGAAAATTTACACTAGGTAGGTACACTCCTTGGAGAGAACAATCATGGGAGAAAGAAGGGCTGTTTATGCACAGGAAGACAGCTCAGGGGGCAGGAGTGCATGGAGGGATGGACACAGGGAAGAGATAACTATCAGGAGGAAGTGGGAGGGGAGCTGTTTCATTGTGGTAAACTGTAGTCAATGTCATGAGACAAAGTGTATGTTAACTGCTGTATGAAAAGTGAATTTGCCCTGTAAACTTTCATTGAAATCATAATTAAAAAAAAAAAAAGTGAATTTGTTGTGTAAACTTGCACCCAAATCACAATTAAAAAAAAAATTAAAAGCACCCCCCCATAAAAGTGTTCCAATAAACATCACTGCCTTTAAAAAAACTTTTTTTAAAAGACAAACAATAAACCTCTTCTACTACATGTAAACATGGATGTAGGCATATGCATGGAATACGGTCTAGAAGGATACACACCAAACTCAGAGAAGCAGTTACCTCAGGGGGTGGGGGATTAGGGCACAAGAAGGCTTTTTACTATACCTGTTATTTCAGTTTTATACAGTGAGAACAGAATCATATATGACTTGTATAATGAAAGATACATTTAAATTCCTTTTTATTTTAAAGAGAACCCACCACATTTAGTTTTTTTGATTACCACAGAACTGCAATCAACAGAGGTCAGTTTGGGATAGGGAGTGTGGGAAATACCTTTTCTCACAGGTATTGACCTCAAAATTCTGGACCAAGAAGGAACTTAGAATGCAGGTGGTTTTCTGTATTTATATTCGGAGAAGATATATTCAGTTTCTCAACAAAATGGTATGGCTTCCAAGTATTTTCATCAACATAAGAAATAGAGTTTCTTTGCAAATTTCTGTGAAGAAACACAGGAATGAAGAGTAAGTTTAAAGAATCTCGGCAACTTTAAGGGGAATATTCAAAGGCAGAAAATGTCAGCTTTCCAATTTCCACAGCTGTCAGCTGCCAAGTTGGCTCAACTGATAATGAAAGACTGTGGGAGCAGTGGCACAAATGCTGAGGCCATCCCCTCAGAACCTCAACTTACTGTCTGTCCAATTTCTTATCCCCCTATCTTTATCAGCAAATATGTATAAAGAAAATACACACCCAGCAACACCATAGCCTTGGCTAAGGGCCCTCCACTGAAAATTCTCCAGGCATTGGAAGGATAAGGGCAATTAGAAATTACAGGGACTAATGTACTGGTGTTTACTGCCTCAGAAACCCAACAGAAGTCACTATGAGTTGGAATCAACTCGATGGCAGTTTTTCTTTTTTTTTTTTTTTTCATAAACATACTTGTGTGGAAAACTCTCTTAGGGATATTGCTTAATTAAAAAAAATGCAAATCACTGAAGTACTACTTCATTAGGAAAAAAATACATATAAATATGTATATAAACACAAAGGGGAGAGACTGAAGGAAGGACATAAACTGAAATGGTAACAAGTGTTACCTTATCACTGATAGGGAGGAAGATGGGAAGGGGAAGGGCAAGGAGGACTTTCATATTTTATCTTATTAACTTCCGTGACACTTTTAAAACTATTATATGACGGGAATGTATCCACGAAATGACATGTGCTTAAGATAAGCTGTCAAGTTCCTGAGGTTCAGTTCTAACTGCTAACTCTGTAGATGACTCTGAATCTTTATGCTCTTCCCTCAGCAACAATTTACTTTTTCAGTTTATACGGTTAAATAGGTGACATTTGGAATTAAGTCCAAACAGTTAACTTGCCTGCCCATCTGCCTGTGAAGTCTCAGGTGGGCTCTTATGCACGGATGAAGGAGGTCCATCCTCCTCAGGTTGCTCTAGAGGCTGAGCTGGGGCTGCTTGCTGGCCTGAAGGAATGTGGACCTCTTCAGTGGGATGTGCAAGCTTGGCTGTGTCCTCCTGCTGGACTGCAGGTCCAACCTCTCTAGGAGACTAGAGACTGAGTAAGGCCCTCCTGCAGGGATAGAGATGGTTCAGCCTCTTTGGTGGATTCTGGAGGCTGGCCTGGGTCCTCCTGATGGATTGGAGAAGGTTCATCCTCTATAGGATGCTCTGGAGTTTGAGTTGGGGCCACCAGCTGGTTTTCAAAAGGTTCAGCCTCATCAAGAGGTCTGAAAACTGAGTTGTGGCCTTCTGCTGGACTGGACAAGGTTGAACTGCTGCAGTGGGCTCTCAAGTTATGGTAGGCTCCAGAGGTAGAGAGTTAATTGTGCCACTGGGATACCAAGCTTCACCTTGCCCTAGAGGTGAAATAGTGACTTCATGATGCCCTGCTGATTGAATTACCACCTCTGCAGTGGGATCTGGATGTCGACCTAGGCCCTCTTGCAGGATTGGAGAAGACTCAACCTCCACAGGGGGCTCTAGAGGTACAGGTGGGTCCCTCTGCTGACTTGTAGAAGGTTCATCCTCCTTAACAATGTGTAGGGGCTGTGTTGTTGTTATTCAGGGGACTGAAACTAATGTCACGAAATAAAATGTGTATAAATGTTGAATGGGAAAATAGTTTGCTCTGTAAACTTCTATCCAAATCCCAATGAAATGTTTTTAAAAAATGAGTAAGGAAAAATAGGCCAATCAAAATAAAAGACTGGAGAAGTGGCACAATAGTAAGGAGAATAATGAGGTTAAGGAAAAGTTGACAAACAAAAAGGGGGAAAAAAAAGTTGCTCAACATGGGTTGGGAAGAGAAGGAAGTGCGGGAAGACCCAAAGGAAAAGGCTGTCATATCAAGCAGGATGCAGAGAACAAACGAGGAAAGGCAATACTTACAAGACAGTGAAGGTGCCATTGTGCATGTGGGGCTGTGGCACAGGCACTCTGTGGAGCCTCTTCTCTGGGCTCAGCCCAGAACAGGACAGCATTTGATTTTGGCAGAGACAAAGCTCACATACATCAATGTTCGTTCTATTGCTAGCATCCTGTTCCCATTGGATAGGTAAAGCCATTTGTGCCCTATTTGAGTTGTGATAAATAACAGCATTCTGTTCTCATAGCTCAGTTAAAGCCACTTGAGTCCTTTTTGGGGTGTGATGTACAGTGGCATTCGGGTCTTGTGTCTCAGTTAAGCTGTCTGCACCCTTTCTGGGGTGAATTTACAGAATGCTCCAATAAATGTTTAGTCACTGGGGGTATTTGGTTGCTGAGTTAAAGTAAGCTCTAGATCCAAAGTTTGAACTGTAACTTTTTTTTTTTTTTTTTTTTTTGAGAAAATGTGGTGTTCTGCAGTGCTACAGAATGTCTGACTTGCACAGTGGGTTCTGAAGACACAGTAAGCTCTGGATCCAAAGGCTGAAGTGGAACTTGGTTTGGAGGAGATGTGGTTGTCTGCAGGGCTGTAGAATGTTCGATCTCCATAGTGGGTTCTAGAGACATGGTAAGCTCTAAATCCAAAGGCTGAAGTGTAACTTGCTTTGGAGAAGATGTGGTCTTCTGCAGGGCTGCAGAATGTCTGACCGCCATAGTGGACATCAAGGTGAGCTTGATCCTGACCTATAGGTGGAAATGTTACCTTATGATGCACTGGAAGTTTAGTTACAACCTCCTCAGGTGGCTCCAGAGGTTGAGTTGGGATCTTTTGCCTGGCTGGAAAAGCTTTAACCTCTGTTTTGGGTTCTGGCAATATGGCAAGCTCCAGGTCCCTAGGTTGAACAGTGACTTTGGGACAAAGTTTGAATGCTGGACCTTATCTTGACCTGGAGGTGAAATTATTACCTCATCATGTGCTGGACCTTGAGCTACGACTCCCTTAGAAGGCTCTAAAGGCAAAGTTGCTGTCTCCTGCTTGGTTCGAGTAGACTCAACCTCTGTATTGGGTTCTGGAGATACGGTAAAGCTCCAAATCCAAAGTTTGAACTGTGACTTGATTTCTAGGAGCAGCTATGGTCTTCTGCAAGGTTGCAGAATATTCATCTCTGCAGTGGGTTCTGGACTTATTACCATAAGCCTCTTATCTACAAGTTTAACTGTAAATCCGGGCAAGACTGAATGTTTGGCTTAATCCTGACCTGAGAGTGGAGTTGTTGCCTCATGATGCACTACGGGTTGAGCCACAACCTCCTTAAGAGGCTCTGGGGGCTGAGTTGGGGTCCACTGTTTGGCTGGAGAAGGTTCAACCTTCATATAGGGTTCTGGAAATACAGTAATCTCCAGGTCTGGTGGTTGAACTGTGACTTCACTCAGGTTTGGCTGCTGAGCTTGAACCTGGTCTGGATATAGAAGTGTCACCTCAGGGCCCTCTGGAGGAGCTGTAGTCTTCTGTGGGGCTGTAGAATGTTCAACCTCCTAAGTGTGCTCCAGAGTTATGGTAAGCTCCAGGTCCAAAGATTGGGTTGTGATGTTGGCAAAGTTTACATGCTGAGCTTGATATTGACAGTTGGTGAAACTGTCACGTCATGAAGCATTGGAGATTGAGCTACACCCTCTAGAGGAGTCTCTGGAGGTTGAGGTGGGGCCCTTGTTGGGCTGTCAAAGATGCTGCAAAATCTTGTCAAAGATTTCCTTAGGAAGCTCTTGAGTCTATACAGGATGTCCTTGCTGGATTGAAGGGGGCTCTGGACACTGAGCTGGGGCCTCCTGCTGGACTGGAGAAGGTCCCATCTCCTTAGAAGGCTCAAGAGGTAAGGCTGGGGCTTCTTGCTGGATTGGAGAAGGTTCACCCTTCATAGGAGGTTCTGGAGGTGAGGCAGAGGGTCTGGAGACGGTTTCTTGTGTGCAAAGGGTTCTGAAGGTAGAGCTGGGACCTCTTCTTGGGCTGCAGAGGGCTCTACCTCCTTAGGGGGCTTTGAAGGTGTAGCTGCGACCTCTCGCTGCATGGAAGACGGTTCTATATTTGCAGAGGCCTCTTCAGGTGGAGCAAGAGCCTCCTGCTAGAGAAGAGAAGGTTGGACGTCCTCAGGGGGCTTTGCAGACAGGACAGGGACCTCCTGCTGGACTGCAGATGGTTCCACCTCTTTAGGGGGCTCTGGACACTGAGTTGGGGCCTCCTGCTGGACTGGAGAAGGTCCCACCTCCTTAGTAGGCTCAGGAGGTAAAGCTGGGGCTTCCTGCTGGATTGGAGAAGGTTCGCCCTTCTTAGGAGGTTCTGGAGGCGAGGCAGAGGGTCTGGAGATGGTTTCTTGTGTGCAAAGGGTTCTGAAGGTAGAGCTGGGACCTCTTCTTGGGCTGCAGAGGGCTCTACCTCCTCAGTGGGCTTGGAAGGTGTAGCTGGGACCTCTTGCTGCACTGGAGACGGTTCTATATTTGCAGGGGGCTCTTGAGGTGGAGCAAGAGCCACCTGCTGGAGAAGAGAAGGTTGGACGTCCTCAGGGGGCTTTGCAGACAGGACAGGGACCTCCTGCTGGACTGCAGGTGGTTCCACCTCTTTAGGGGGCTCTGGACACTGAGCTGGGGCCTCCTGCTGGACTGGAGAAGGTTCCACCTCCTTAGTAGGCTCAGGAGGTAAAGCTGGGGCTTCCTGCTGCGTTGGAGAAGGTTCACACTTCTTAGGAGGTTCTGGAGGTGAGGCAGAGGGTCTGGAGATGGTTTCATGTGTGCAAAGGGTTCTGGAGGTACAGCTGGGACCTCTTCTTGGGCTGCAGAAGGCTCTACCACGCTAGGGGCCTTTGAAGGTGTAGCCAGGACCTCTTGCTGCACTGAAGACGGTTCTATATTTGCAGGGGGCTCTTGAGGTGGAGCAAGAGCCACCTGCTGGAGAAGAGAAGGTTGGATGTCCTCAGGGGGCTTTGCAGACAGGACAGGGACCTCCTGCTCACTGCAGATGGTTCCACCTGTTTAGGGGGCTCTGGAGGCTGAGCTAGGGTGTCCTGCTGGACTGAAGGTAGGACCTCCACAGGTGGCCATGGAGACTGACATGGGGACTTTTGCTGGGTTGAAGAAGGTTCTACCTGCAAAGGGGGCTCAGGAGACTGAGGTGGGGCCTCCTGGGCTGGAGAAGGCTGCAAAGGTGGCTCTGAAGGATAAAATGGGGCTTCTTGCTGAGTTGGAGAATTTTCTCTGTACAGGGGGCTCAGTAGCTTCAGTGAGGCCTCTTGCTGGGCTGGTTCAATCTCAGCAGGCTCCAGAGGCTGACGTGGGGACTCTTGCTGGCTTGAAGAAAGTTCTACGTGCACTGGAGGCTCAGAAGACAGAGCTGGAGTGTCCTGGACTGGAGATGGTTCAACCTCTTTAAGAGGTCCAGGAGATTGAAGTGGGGACCCTCCTGCTGGGCTGAAGAAGGTTGAGTCTTTTCAGGAGGCTCTGGAGAATGAGATGAGGCCTCTACCTGGGTTGGAGACGGTCCAATCCCTGCAGGGCATTATCATGTCATACTAGGTTAATCCTCCTTAATAGAGTCTGAGGGCTGAGTTGGGTCATCCAGTTCAGCTGTTGGAATGTGCAGTCTACTCAAGGAGCTCTGCAGCCTTGGTCATCCTGCTGGGTTAGAGAAGTTTCTTAGTTCTTATTGGCCTCTGTAGGCTGGGATGGATCCTGTTATTCTACTAGATAAGGTTGGGACCTGTTAGGGGGACCTACAGGTTGAACAGGGTCATCCTCCTGGACAGAAGGTTTGACCTTCTGAGGTGGATCTGGAGGCTGAGCTGGGATCTGGTCCTTGGACAGAAAAGGTCCAAACTCCTCAGGAGACTATGGAACTTGAACTGGAACATCCTGTTGAGTCAGAGAATGCTCAACCCCAGGTTTAACTGGTATTTAAGGTAAGATAGTATGCTGAGCTTAATGATGACCTGGAGGTAGAACTGTCACTCCATCATACAAAGAGGGTTAAAACCTCATTATGCAACTCAGGTGGCTGAGCTGGGTCATCCTGCTGGATTTGAGGTGTGACCTTCTCAGGTTGTTGAACTGGAAAAAGCTTAACATTTTCAGGAGGATTTATTTGGTGGTTGAATTAGGAACTCCTGCTGGGTTTCAGAAGGCTTATCTTCAGGAGTGTCTGGAGGCTAAGCTGGGACATCAGGTTGGGTTCGATGTGACTGGACCTCCTTCATGGGTTCTGGCATTAGAGTAAGCTGCAGAACAACAGGTTTAACACTGGGCAAGCTTGAAGGATGCAGTTGATTTTGACCTGGTAGAGGACACTCATGACTTATGGTAGCTGGAGCTGTAACCTCTGTAGGAGGCTCTAGAGTGCAGCTGAGGCCTCCTGCTAGACAGGAGGAGGTCCAGCTTCCCCAGTAGGCTTTCCTGCCTGAACTGTGGCCTTCTGGTCTGGAGGAGGTTTGATTTCCTGGGAGGGCTGTGAAGGCTCAGCTGGGAACTCCTGCTGGCTTAGAGAAAGGTCAAGACCCTCGGCAGGCTTTGGAGGTTGTGTGGGAGCACAACCCCAGGTTTAACCTCCTGGGAAGGTGTTGGAGGTTGGGGGGGAGGGGTTCCTGCTGGACTGGAGGTTAACAACCTCAGGTGGCTCTGGAGGTCACCGTGGGGCCTCTTGCTGAATTGGAGAAGGTTTCAGTTCCTGGGGAGGCTCTAATGGGGCTTCCTGATGGACTGGCGAAGGCTCCCCCCTCCTCAGAGGCCACTGCAGACAGAACTGGAGCCTCCTGCTGGGTTGGGGAAGGTTCATCCTCCTCCTAGAGGCTTTGGAGGCTGACCCAAGGACTCCTGTGGGTATGGAGAAGGTTCCTCCTCCTCAGGGAGCTCTGGAAGTGAAGTTAGGGCCTCCTGCTGGGTTGAGGAAAGTATAAACTCCTGGGAAGTCTTTGGTCACTGAGTCTAGGCTTCCCGCTGCACTGGAGGTTCACCCTCCTCAGGGAGCCCTGGAGGAGGAACTCCTGCTCCACTCCATTGCAGGTTTGTGTCCTTCAGTGAGTTTTGGAGGCTCACCTGGAGCCTCCTGCTGGGTTGGAGAAGGTTCAGTACTCTCAGAGAGCTGTGGAAGCTGTGGTAGAACTTACTGATGCACTGAAGAAAGTTCAACCTCTTCAGGGGGCCCTGGAGATAAAACTGGGGCCTCCTGCTCAGTTGGAAGTGATTTAACCTCTTGGGGAGGCTTGAGAAACTGTGCTGGAGCTTCTTGCTGGGCTGGAGAAGGTTCCCCTTCCTCAGGGAGCTCTGGAAGAGATGGGCCCTCTGGTTGGACTGGCGAAGATCCACCTTCCTCATGGTGTTCTGGGGCAGCTGTGCCTTCCTGCTGGGCTGGAGAAAGTCCAATATCCTCGGTGGGCTTTGTAGGTTGAGCTGGAGCTTCCTGCTGCCCTGCAGGAGGTTCACCCTCCTGAAAAGTCAAGAGCTAGGGCTTCCTTTGGACCTGGAAGTGGTCCGACCTCCTCGGGAGGCTCTGGCCTCTTAGCTGGGACCTCCAGCTGAGTTGGAGGTGGTTTAACCTGCTGTGGATGCATTGGAGGCTGTGCTGGGGCTCCCTGTTGGATGAAGTTTCAACCTCCTCAAGGGTCTCTGAATGCTGTGCTTGGAATTCCGACTGGACTGAAGGAGACAGAACCTCCTCTGGGCTCTCGAGGCAGGGCTGGGGACTCCTGCTGGGCAGGAACAGGTTCAATTACTTCAGTGGGCTTTGGAGACTCACCCGAGTTTTCCTCCTGGGCTAGAGAAGGTTCAGCCTCCTGGAGAGGTGCTGGAGGCTGAACCAGGGCTTCCTCCTGGACTGAGAAGACTTAGCCTCCTCAGGGCACTCCTCCATAGGTGGAACTGGGGCCTTCTGTGGACCTGGAGGTTTCACTTCCTCAGGGAGCTCTGGAGGTAGGGCTGGGCCCTCCTGCTGGGTTAGAGAAGGCTCAACCTTGTAGGGAGGCTGTGGAGGCTGACCCAGGGCTCCTTACTGGACTGGAGAATGTTCAACTTCCTGGAGAGGTTTTGGGGGCTGAACCAGGGCCACCTGCTGCACTGGGAAAGGTTCAACCTCTTCAGAATACATTGGAGGAGCTGTGGCCCCCTGCTAGATTGGAGCTTTCACTTCCTGCTGACGTTTAGCAGCTGTGCTGGCGCTTCCAGCTAAGCTGGACACTGAACCTCCTTAATACACTCTGGAGTTAGGGTAAGCTCCACATCCACGTGTTTAACTGTGACACTGTTGGTGTTAGGTGTCATCAAGTTGGCTCCAACTCATAGTGACACTATGTACAACAGAACAAAACGCAGTCCAGTCCTGTCTGTGCCAGACCCACAATGCTTGCTATACCTGAGCCCATCATTACAGCCACTGTGTCAATCCATCTGGTTGAGAGACTTGCCCTTTTTTGCTGACCCTTCACTTTACCAAGCATGATATTCTTCTCCAGGGAATGATCCCTTCTGACAACATGACCAAAGTAGGTCAGATGAAGTCTGGCCACTCTCGCTTCCAAGGAACATCCTGGCTGCACTTCTCCAGAACAGATTCGTTTGTTCTTCTGGCAGTCCATGGTACTTTCAGTATTCTTCACCAACACCAAAACTCAAAAGCATCAACTCTTCTTCGGTCTTTGATTCTGTCCCTTATGGTGCACTTAAGTTTGAGTTGTAAACCACCTTAGGTGGCTTTAAAGACAAATTTGGGCCTCCTGCTGGGCTGGAGAATCTGTACTTTCAGATGCCTCCACAGCGTGGACTGGGGTCTCCTGGACAGGAGAAGGCTCTCCCTCCGTAGGGGATGAGGGGGACTGTGTTGGGCCCTCTTCCTGGACTCAAGGTTGTTCCATCTCAAGGGGCTCTGGAGGAGCAGCTGGGGTCTCCTGCTGTGTTGAAAAAGGTTCTCCTTCCTTCAGAGGCTGAGCTGGGGTCTCAGGACAAGACTGGTGAAGCCTCACCTTCCTCAACATGCCCTGCAGTCTGACCTGAGGTCCCCTGCTGCCATGAAGGTTCTGTTAACTGGGAAGAGGAGCCCCCTTTTTCCCTGGCCTTGCCCTCTTCATGAGAAGAATCTTCAAAGGCGAACAATCCATGAGCAAGCAGCCCCAGATGATCCTCGACCAAGCGGTGGTGTTCCATGGCTGCAGCTTGACAAACTAATTTAATAAGGCACCATTCACACAACCCTTTATTGAAAGCTAGAGTACATTTCCATAGGAGAAATGGACTTCTCTCCGTGACTAGGAAGGGCCTTTAAAAGCAACAGGCATCTCCAAAAAAGTAGAGACTGATGACCTTCAGCCTTATTCATACCTGGAGTTTTAACCTTACTTTTGAGTCGAGGAGGCAGAGCTACTGCCTGATTCTGATCCCAATCTTGTACTGGAACCAAAACCGTGATCTTCTGAGGCTGAATTAAATTCTGCTGTTGCAGGAAAACAAGGTCCTTATCCCCTGTAAGGGGAGCTCTGGTAGCAGAGTGCCTAAGTCACTTGACTGCTAACCAGAAGGCTGGCGGTTCAAACCCACCAGCCACTCCTCCAAAGGAAGGTTGGGCAATCTACTTCCGTAGTGATACTGCCTCGGAAACCGAAGGAGGGGTCGCTATGAGTCGGGTCCAACTCAATGGCACATAACAACAACAACACTACTCCTGTAAGGAAGAGCCAATGATCACAACAGGTTGAAGAGGGAAAGCAAAAGGTTTACTGAGTATCGATACCCAAGAAGACAGTGAGAATCGTTTCTTTAAAGTGTCTGCCTTTTTGAGCAAAGGGGTAAAAATGATTACATAGGGGAATGGGAAGGGGGGAAGATCTCTCGGACGACCAGGAATGCCTTTGCTTTTCTTCTCCTTGGTTACTCCAGACTCTGTGTCCCTCTTTGCAGTGTTATCTTGCTTCAGAGACTACAGTTCTCAGCCAAAACCAATCATGGGAGAGGGTTATGCTTAAAAGAATACGTAATTGAAAATACCAAATCTAAAGAACTCAATGTCCGTAACAAAGTTGGCTATTCTATTTACTTAAAAGAAAACCAAAGGGAGGGAAAACAGCAAGTTAGTCACTATTACTGTCAATCCTAATCATGCCTGCTAGTCTAGTAAAGTTTTACAGTTTTCAGTGAGGGGCTCCTTCAGCCTTCCACTTCAGCCGTCCACACTATGGACCAGCAAACTTACCCAGCCTTGGAGGTGAACCTGTGCTGAAAGTTTCAGTCAAATCCTGAGCCAGGGACTTGACAGTCAAAGCGTATGTGGTGATTCAGGTGGGTATTCAGGGGAGGGAGAAAACCAGGGCTCAGTCACCTCTGGGATGTCAGAGGAGAGTTGGACTAGGTCAATAGCCAGCTTCGAATAGTTGCCACCTGGACCAGCAGCAACATGCCTGGAGCATCAGAAGCCATGGGGCCCATAAATGCTGCTATAGTACATGGAGGCTCCAGGACGAAGTGATGCATGCCAGTGGCATGGTAACACTGCATCCTTAGTGGGAACCATGAGGCACCTGCATCTTAGTAACCACATGCCCCTCCCCCACAACATGCCTCAATCTTTTGTGACATCTTTGTTTACTCATCACTTCTGTCAGAGATCAGTCCCATGACACAATGGTGAGCCCCTTTCCTAGAATCACCAGGCCAAATCATCCCTTCTTCTGCAAATGTGACAGAATTTCAAGACCTCCACCCCCACCCCACAGCAAGACAGGATTAGAGCTCTACCTGTACCCACCCCTGAGGCTCTAGCTGCTTGGACAGGGGCAGGGACAGAAAGCTTCAGACTCTCAGCAGTCAAAATTCATGATCCATTTCTGGCAGCCAGAACTCTTCCTCCTTGTATGGTAACTGTAACCCCCCAAAATGGCTCTCAGATGCTTGTATGAACTACAAGATATTTCCCTTCTCCCTCCCTGTCACGTATCCCCCTGCTCTGACCTATCAGGTATTAACCACTTTCCCTGTAATGTATGTACCTGTCCTTAGCATAGTTTTAAACAATAAAGCGTGCTAACTGGTAGCATCTTATCAAAGCACACATAGATGGTAATCTGGGGCCCCCTCCTGATCAGGATCCTACACCACCAAGCCTGAAACCAGTCACATAGTCTCCCCCACCCTCCAATTCTCCAAACTCAGGTATAAATATCCCCTCAAAGTGGGAGGGGTTAGCAGTCATCTTGGATCCACTCTGGCACACCACTGCTGAAGTGCTAGCAACATTTGTAAGCCTGTTTTCTTTTATCCTTTATCTTTTAAACCCTTTCTGTCCTGATCCTCTTTGTTTCTGTTCTGAATAAACATTCCCTTTCTGCCTATGCCTCAGGGGAAGTTTTTTGGGCTGCCAATAATTACTCAGGAGGAAGTTTTAGCCTCCTTAAATAATTCCTAAGACACTTCTCCAAACTGAAATGCAGAGGTTCTTCCTCCCACTGGACATACTACTTCCAAGAAAAGTAAGTGAACTGCAAAATGAGCACTGTTTAGTATGGCCAAGAGGGGAACAAACACGTTAGGTATTTTACTCTAAAACACTATTTTTTCTAAACTCTCCATACTCTCTTTGTTCCATATTTCATTATATAGGGGGCACCACTAATCAGTGACGATGCCAAACTTTCTGTAGGAGGTTTGAGGCAAGAGCCAAGATGATTAAACAACAACAAACAAATAGGAGGCTAAGGTTTCTGGCTCCACCCAGCCAGAGGCCCAAGGCCATATACATAAGAATAGGAAGATATATAGTCAAGGTATGGTGAGAAGATGAAACTGCAATGTTTTAAAGGGGCTTATGTGTGTTGGGTTATATGAATTACCATGGGTATTGAAATGTTCTCTTGCGTAGTTGTATGTTAGAAAGGAATACTGAGTATAGGAAAAAGAGAGCATATAATTCTGTCTTCAGCCAATATTAGACTGGATATGCTAAAAGGGGAACTAGGACTTGCCTGAGAGAAACACGGGCTGTTGGTTAAAATAGAGTAGCCCTGTGCATACAGTATGTATGCGGGGATTAGTTTAAAAACCCAAGCCCCACTCAGAACTTTCAGAGTCAGCAAATTAGCATTGAAAAAGACATGGAAACCTGCATAGAAGTAAGAGAACAGAAGATCTGCATTTGAAGAAAGGACCCTCAGAGAAAATAATAAGAGAAACCCATTCCAGGAGTGGAAATGAAAGGAAACCAGCAAGTATGCAGCAGCTCCCATAAGACCACCTGGGTCCACTGGATCAGTGAAAGTGGGAGAAGTGCAGCAATGAAGAAACAGGCTGAGTTGGCACCTGCTGATCTAGCCCAGGGAGGCAAAGGATGAGAGGAAAGGATGGCTGGTCAGAAGTGCAGGGAGTTGTACATACACTGCTGAGCCTACATGCTGACCTAACCCATGGGGGCTTGGGATGAGAGAGAGAGAGAGAGAGAGAGAGAAGGGGCTGGCTAGTCTGAAATGCAGAGAGATATGTCAGCTTGCAGAGCTGGTCGACCAGAACCCATAAGGATGGGTCTTTTGTCATAAACAGGCTTCTGAAATCTTTAACACCAATGTTGAATCTTACTTCTTAAAGCCCAATCTTGGACAAACCTGAAGCGCTCTTGAATGAGTTTTACTTAAATTAATAAAAACAATTATTTTACATGGAAAAAAAAATCTTCAAATACTTTTTCAAAAGGGAATGACTTTCTCTTTCCTACCTTTTTCCCTTTGAAACCCACTGCAACTTTGGGGTAATTCTGTTACATAATCAAATATCCAGCCCCCAATTTAAGTTCTCATCGATCCAGGTCAATAAAACACATCCTTCTGCTCCTAACTTTATTATTATCATCATTATTTTTAGAGAAAATATCCTACAGATAGTAAATTCTTTTAGAAACTACACTAGCAGTTTAATGCATAATTTAGGCCATTCATGTAACAGATTTAGAAAAAGGTTCTTCAGTGAAACATTACATTGGCTATGAGATGTTGAGATCTAGGCAATACACTTTATTTGAAAGGCATAGTAGTTTTCACAAGCTTTAGTGTAATCACTTTTGAGGCCATAGTTATTTTGTTCCCAAATCCCTGAGACACTGTTTGAGGGCAGTTCTGAGAGGCCTATACTTAAGCAGCCTAGCATCCCTAAGTCCTGAAGGGGAAGAATGGCCCCTCACCTATGCCCATGACTGTAAGAACACTCTGAGACTTCTCAGTCCTGCTCTCCGAACATCAGGTAAGGGGTCAGAGCCAAGGGCAGGACTTCAGGAAAAGCCCTAGGAATTCCTTGCACTCAGAAGCTGTTTCAGAGTGTTATACTATCCTAAGGATGCCAGAGTCTGTGCATGTCTATGGCATGCCTGCTGGTCGTCTTGAATTCTGGCTGCACTATCTATATAAACCTCAAGCATAATTTTCTCCGTGTACATGAATTAAACCTGTAGTTCTTCGGTTCTGGCATCTATGATCTCTTCACCGGGTCTGTACTCCACAGCTATTTTACCACTTTCTGAAATAAAATTAAAAATGATCAGTTCAAAATTATTCTTGTACTAAAACTCCTTGCATGCAAAAAACAAACCAACCAACCAGTTGCCAAAACTGTTACCACTTTGGATAGCAAACTTTTGGGTTAGCAGTCAAATATATGCACTACTCAAGGACTCCACATAAAATGGCAGCACCCAATAATTAGGCATTCTTTTGACTCCTAAAAGCAGATGATAAAAACACTTTTCCTTGAAGTTTCTTCACCCTACACTTAATTTTTTATTATACACACTTGTTTAAGAGAATGTATTATCAACTGTGTTCAGTCCAAAGAACTATATAAGATTAGAGATAGGAACTAAGTTAGGAACAACGACATAGAAAACAAAAATTGTACAAGCAAAAATGTTCAACTATAATATGACTAAATAGTAAGGCATTAGATGGGGGTCAAGGTAAATTCAAAACTGGGAAAGAGACAATTGGACCATAGTAGACACCTCCTTAATAGGAAGTAAATGCTTATAATGAAGCAAGAAGTAAATGTCTATTCCTTGGGGATCAAAATTCCAGCAGATTCAATGAACAAAACATTGGACAGACGGCAATCATTTGAGCACTCTGTTGTTGTTAGGTGCCATCAAGTTGATTCCAACTCATTGTAACTCCACGTGTTACAGAGCAGAACTGTGCTCCACAGTGTTTTCTTGGCTGTAATCTTAATGGCAGCAGACTGCTAGGCTTTTTCTTCCAAAGTACCACTGGATGGATTTGAACCACCAACCTTTTAGGTTAGCAGTAGAGTGCAAACTATTTGTGCCATTTAGGGACCTCTACTGGCCAAAACTGAAGCCTTGTACATCATAAACAACACAACTGCTCCTCAAGGCAAACAAGAGCCATAAGCTTTTTGGCCTGAGTACTTTAGCCTCACTCACTCACTCACTCACTGCCATCGAGTCGGATCTGACTCATAGTGACCCTTCCCTGGGTTTCGAGCTTTTCCCATTCATCTCATTTACTCTTACACGCCCATGAGAAGGTAGTGTTACTAACTCTATTTCCAGATAAGGAAACTGCACCTTAGAGATAGTAAATACTTTAAAATCTCTCTGCCTATAAAACCTAAAAAGGCAGTAACAATCTAAGAGACAGAGCTTGGCTGTAAACCTAGGTGTCCAAAGTTATACTATTCTGCATAGTAGGTAAGTAATCGAGGAAGAAGCCCTGGATCAAACACTTACTTGGTGTGAATTGAGGCAAGTCATTCCACACCCACAATGTAGGGTAATATCTGCTGTCACTTTTCTTACAGATGTCACAAAGAATGAATTTGAGACTACTGCTGTAGGTCATTTGGTAAAAGGAAAGTATAACTGGAGTGCTTTAGATATCCATGTTTTCACCCAATTTACTTTTTTTTTTTTAATTTTTATTTTTATTGTGATTTGGGTGAAAATTTACAGAACACATACACTTTGTCTCATGACATTGACCACTATTTAGCACAATGCAACATCTCCTCTCCCACTTCCTCCCGATAGGTACCGCTTCCCTGTGACCATCCCTCCATGTACTCCTACTCCCTGAGCTGTCTCCCTGTGCCTGAGCAGCCCTTCTTTCTCTCTTCCTCAGATAAATGCTCAACTAGTATGCCTGTCTACTGCTTGGCTGGAAGCTACAGGTGTGTGTTCAATTCCAGACCTGAAGGACAGGTAGAGGCCATAGTCTCAGTGGTTCCACCAGGCTTCATCGGGCCAGTAAACCTGTTCCCTGCTTTTTTTTTCCCCCCCCAAATGATTTTGAGTTTTGTTCCACATTGTTCCCCTTGTCTATCCAGGATCTCCTACAAAGATCCTCTTCCAAGTGGTTGACAGTAGTAGCCGAGCACCATCTATTTCTTCTGGTCTCACAGTCATATAGGCTGCAGATCAGATGGTGTACCAGTCGCCAGGACTGATTGTTTCCATGAATTTTTGGTTTTCTTCATTCTTCTTGGCCCTGGACGTTGTATCTAGATGGCAGCTTGCAAAAGCTTTTAAGATCTCAGTCGCTACTAGCCACAGTAGAAGGTGGAACAATGATTTGTGTAGTATGTTATGCCAGTTGAGCTTGATGTCCTCTGGGACTATGGTCCCAAGGCCACAGGTTCAACTACTCGGTCTCTCAGGGTACCTGTCAGTGGCCAAGCAGTGACTAAAACCTTGTCTCTTGTCAGCCCCATTTCACCCAATTTACTTTTCAAAATGAGTTTACTTACTCATGGAAACTGAAATGCCTTGGAGATCATCAAGCAAGTCTTACCTAAAACCACAATCAATAGTTTCTGGAATGCATCTGACAAAGCCCTCTGAATGGCAAGCTTCTGTGTTATCTTCCTTTTCATAAGCAATGATAATGGCCCTAAATCCAACAAAAACAAAAGGATTTAAAATTTTTATCTGAATAAGTGGGACCAGCGGAAGGCAGGTGTTTGTGTAGAGCGCCCCAGGGGCAGGCCGAGTAAGCAAGCAGGCAGGGAAGACCAGGAAATGAGCAGAGCAGTTTGGAACAGCTAAGGGAGAGACAAATCTGTCAGTCTGTTGGGCTGTGGTGGCTTGAGTGTTGCTGTGAGGCTGGAGGCTATGCCACTGGTGTTTCAAATGCCAGCAGGGTACCCATGGTGGAAAGGTTTCAGCAGAGCTTCCAGACTAGGACAGATTCAGAAGAAGGAAGAGGCCATCCACTTCTCAAACAATTGGCCAGTGAAAACCTTATGAACAGCAGTGAAACACTATCTGATGCACTACTGGAAAACTTTATGAATAGCCCAGAAACACTGTCCAATATAGTCCCAGAAGATGAGCCCCTCAGGTCAGAAGGCACTCAAAATACGACTAGAGAAGAGCTGCCTCCTCAGAGTAGAGCCGACCTTGATGACATGGATAGAGTAAAGCTTTTGGGAGCTCCATTTGCTGATGTGGCATGCCTCAAGATGAGAAGAAACAGCTGCAAACATCTATTAATAATCAGAACACGGAATGTACAAAGCATGAATCTAGGAAAATTAAGTTATCAAAAATGAAATGGAATGCATAAAGACTCATATTCTAGCCATTAGTGAGCTGAAATGGACTGGTTTTGGCCATTTTGAATCAGACGATCGTATGTTCTACTATGCTGGGAATGATAAATTCAAGAAGAATGGCGTGGCATTCATCATCACAAAGAATGGATCAAGATCTATCCTGAAGTACAATGCTGTCAGACAGGACAATATCCATACGCCTACAAGGAAAACCAGTTAAAACTATTATTATTCAAATTTACACACTAAACACCAAAGCCAAAGATGAAGAAATTGAAGATTTTTATCAACTTCTGCAGTCTGAAATTGACCAAACATACATTCAAGATGTGTTAATTATCACGGATGACTGGAAAGCAAAAGTTGGAAACAAAGAAGAATCACCAGTAACTGGAAAATATGGCTGTGATAGTTGGAGCTATGTGTCAACTTGGCTGGATCCCAGTTCTGTGTGGTTGTTCCCATGATGGGATCAGATGACTGTGTTCTGAGTGGCCAGTCTGCCCAAGGGGAGTTTCCCTAGGGGTGTGGCCTGCTTGCAATGATATCCAAGGACAACCTGGAAGAACCGCATTCCTTAAGGAATTGGAACCCTGGTGTGCGAACTACAGACTTCCTTGAGTGAGTGGCCCACCGCTCGGCCTGGAGATCTCGGATTCATCTTTTGTTGGAATCAACAACCAGTATACTGCATGCCAGCTTGAATCTCTCGGCTCCCCTGTGCTTGCGGAAGCCAAGGCGGCCGCAAGCCCCATCTCCTCCAGAGACGGACTTTTCGGCTTGGACTTGTCGGCTTCTATACGCTTGTGAGCCATTTTCCTAAGATAAATCTCTCTCTCTCTCTCTCTCTCTCTCTCTAAATATATATATATATACTTTGCTGGTTTTTTGTGTTTCTCTAGAGAACCCAATCTAACACAATGGCCTTGGTGATAGAAATAACACTGGAGATCACATGACAGAATTTTGCAAGAACAACAATCTATTCGTCACAAACACCTTTTTTCAACAACACAAAGGGTGGCTAGCTATACATGTGGACTTCACCACATGGGGTACACAGGAATCAGATTAACTACATCTGTGGAATAAGGCAATGAAGAAGCTCAGTATCTTCAGCCAAAACAAGGCCAGGAGCTGATTGCTGATTAGACCATCAGCTGCTCATAAGCAAGTTCAAGCTGAAGCTGAAGACAATTAAAATAAGTCCATGAGAGCCAAAATATGACCTTGATTATATCCCTCCTGGATTTAGAGACCATGTAAAGAATAGATTTGATGCACTGAACACCAATGACCGAGAACCAGAGGAACTGTGGGATGACATCAAGAACATCACACACGAAGAAAGCAAAAGGTCAGTAAAAAGATAGGAAAGGAAGAAAAGACTAAAATGGATGTCAGAAGAGATTCTGAAACTTGCCCTTGAATGGAGAGTAGCTAAACAAATGGAAGTATTGACAGCAAAAAAGAGTTGAACAGAACATTTCAAAGAAGAGCTCAGGAAGACAAAGTCAATTGTCATAATGAAAAGTGCAAAGACTTGGAGTTAGAAAACCAAAGGGGAAGAACATGCTTGGCATTTCTCAAGCTGAAAGAACTGAGGAAAAAATTTAAGCCTGTAATTGGAATACTGAAAGATTCCACAGGCAATATGTTGAATGATGCAGGAAACATCAAAAGAAGATGGATGGAATACACACAGTCACTATACCAAAAAGAACTGGCAGATGGACTTCCAGTAAGATGGAGGAATAGGCAGACATGCAACACAGACCCTCTTCAACAAAGAAAAGAAAAACCAATTGACAGAGATACAGAAGATAATCCTGGAGCCCTGAGCATTGAAAGGAACTATGCAGAAGTGGATTAGGCACCAACTAGTGGAAAAAACCTGAAAAACAGTGAATACAGAGACAGTCGGAGGTGCAAACTGAGAGTTACTCTAACGGGACCGACAGCCTGAATATTTCCAAGTGATGTTGGGACCTGAGAACTGACCTAAAGATCAACCCTGGTCACCAAGGGCTGCAGGGACAAATGCGCTGGAGGCTTATGACCTCCAGCATAACAGCAGGGAGGGAGACAACCTGAGCTGTTGACTTTCCACTGTCCAGAGGGCACAACCATTTTGGATATTTAAAGTGACTGAGGGCGTAGCCATTTTGAATGTTTACAAGTGGCGGCCACTTTGGATATTTAAAGTGACCAAGGGCGCAGCCATTTTGAATCTTTACAAGTGGCAACCATTTTGGATTTTAAAGTGATAGCATTCTCATTCGAATTGCAGGGACCTAAGAATAGACTTCTCTTTCTCAAGGTTAGCAGGGACATACAAGATGCTGACAACAGGAAAGGAGACAGGTGGTGAGTGTGTAAGTGCTGTCAACTAGCAAATAGAGGAGCACAGTACCCTGCTTGCATAGATAACATACAAACAAAACAAAGAAAATGAAAATCGTGAGCAAGTAACTCCAACATACAATCATCAATTAAATATAAACACAAAGACGTCACA